GATAAAATTCTACTTTGTCTTCCTAGAATGGAGAAACAATGCTTGGAGGTACAGTAGCCATCTTTCAACCATGAGAATAAAAGCCCTAGACTAAGGATAGTAAATAAATAAGATAGAAGGTTTCTTGACATCCTTGAGTTGCTTCATCAGTCTTGGACTGCAGTTACGTTAAAGTACTTGCTTAAACCACTAGTTTATCTTACAAGTAACTAAATTATTCCCAAAACAACAGGGCAATGAGTATTATGACAGAGGTGCAAACTACAATCTTTCGTAGAACCAAAGAGAAAAGTAGGTTAGAGAAAGGAAAATCTAATTCAACACACATTTGACTGTCTGATATGTGCCAGGTACTACGCTAGGTTCTAGACACAAGGATTCATAAGATAGAATCCTTGCCTCAAGAATTATTTTCTCAGTTTAACAAAGTGCTGAGATGCTTGCATTTAAAATTTCATAGGAAATTAGATCATTTCTATTACCACCACATTCTTTCCTATAAAACACAATGTTAACCAGAGAGACATCTAAAAAAGGCTTCAGTTTGTTTATTAATTACATATATCACATATATGTATAGCTATAAAATACCAAACCTGTGGCCGATGAGTCGATTCTGACTCACAGCAACCGTCTAGGACAGAGTAGAACTGCCCCATAGGGTTTCCAAGGAGTGGCTGGTGGATTCGAACTGCCGACCTTTTGTTTAGCAGCCAAGCTCTTAACGACTACATCATCAGGGCTCCCATATATATCATGTACATATATATGATGTTGTTGTTAGGTGCCGCCAAGTCGGTTCCGACTCATAGCGACCCTGTGTACACCAGAACAAAACACTGCCCAGTCCTGTGCATCCTCACGATTGTTATGCTCGAGCCCACCATTGCAGCCACTGTGTCAACCCATCTTGTTGAGGGTCTCCCTCTTTTTCACTGACCCTCTACTTTACCAAGCCTGATGTCCTTCTCCAGGGACTTGTCCCTCCTGATAACACTTCCAAAGTATGTGAGACGAAGTCTCACCATCCTCCCTTCTAAGGAGCATTTTGGCTGCACTTCCTCGAAGACAGATTTGCTCATTCTTCATGGTATATTCAATACCATGGTATATTCAGTACTCTTCTCCAATACCATATATATATATATTTTAACAATGAGACATACACAGCTTTATTTAATAATCTGTTAAAAAGTTGCACTCTGGCAGAATGACACATTCCCCATCTCAGCAGAAAGCAAACAACGTATCTGAAAAGCCCTTTCCCAAGTTTCAGACCTGTGTAACCCTGAGCTTACATCTCATGCTCTCAGGAGCGGGGCCCTTGCTGTGTGGCAGGGGGGTCTCTCCATGGTTCTATCACCCTCCTCCCAGTGATATTCTCTGACTGGCTGTGACCCTTCACATAGCAGTCAGGAGGCTGGAAACATGGACAGGGCTGTCCTCACAGATTGGTCTCTTCTCTCCTACTACAAAAGGGAGTTCAAGAGATTAAGAATCCTTCTCAGAAATGAGTTCAATATAAATTTAATTTAGTTTCTATTTATTAAACATGATATTGTGTTAATGTCTGTTCCTCTCCCCCACCCATTTTCTCACCACCTACATATTTAGGCGTTTTGGGGGACTGAGGGATAGAGAAAAAGTTCTCTCTCCATCACAGACATGGGAGGCATTTCTTGTTGATGCTTTGCATGGTTACTGGCATCCAACATGCAGCAACAGCCATTTTGTTCCTGCAGAGCAAAGACCTGGCATTTTGTTTTCCACCTTTCTGTGCTAAGAGAGTCCAGTACTTAAGCCACACTCATTCCTTCGGATAAACTCCATGTTGCATCAGAATCTTATTGTTCATGGACTTCAAGCAGAATATATCCTTCCTTTTATTTATAGAATAAATAATATTTGAAGTTCATTTGGACAGAAAGAGGTGACTGGTCACCCTGCCCACCTCTGTATGTAATAGGCATCTTCTTATTGATCACAAACAATCAGAGGTCCAAATAGTAATTATGACCTTCCACATTCTGCAGAATTTATCTCTCCTGAAGTCACTTTGCAAATCTTACTGACCAATTCGGAACCAAAAGACAATGCAGTGGCCTACACAACATAGAAATCTGTTCTGCACATTTCCCCTAAAAACACCATTGAAAATGCAGAAAAAAAAAAGTCCCTTTTTTGTTTTTGCAGAAGCTCTACAAGAAAGCATGTCTAAAATCACAGAACTATGCACACACAAACACAGACATGCGAGCTCGCACACACAAGGAGATGGGATCAAAGAATCTTATCAGAGCACAGGAAAAAGCTGGCAAGGGAAGACAGATATGGAGATTTGACCTGCTGAGGATGTTGGAATGTTATAGTAATGGCATGGAAGTGGTTCTTGGTACATACAAAAAAGCGGGTGGGCCGGCAGAGAGAATGAAAAACTCAGGCTACCAGAGAGAGAAATTCAGTGGCCAAGCAAGAGTTAAAAATGGTAGATGCCAGTT